TAAGAGGTATTTATGGGATAAATGCTTAACGCTGCACAACAATAGCACAAGTAGAGACGAGTCATAAAGTTTTGAACCGATTCAGTATTTTTTTCTTATGAATTCAATTAATCATTTGTGTCAGAAGGTAATTAGTATCACTGTAAGACGGTGGTGCGGCACGGTGGTGTATTGGGACCCAGCATTGTGATCAGAAAAATAAACCGTGGGTCCCGAGACGTTTAATGGGACGGCAAGGAATCAAAAAGATTTTCTGTTACAGCAAATAATGTTTATCTTTATGTGTTTCTATTGTTTTCTTATTAAACATAGTTTCGTCCCTCCTGGGAAACTGAGACTCACGCCATGTTTAACTGTGAGGCTGGACACTAGTCAGACAGGCTGGGAACAACTACCACACCGCATTGTACTGTTATTCCTGTTATTGCAGTCACCCTCTGCACAACACTGATAATGTGATACTGATTCCCACTGTGCCCCTGCGCAGAGGTCACAGTGATATCCAGTGCATATTGTCCTTGAAGTTATCATGTAGGTTCAGAAACGAGCACATGGGGAGTTTTAGTTGAAAACTCCAGAGCTCCATCACCTCATTTTCAAACATAAGGAGGACATCTGAAGCTAACGCTCTGCAGCTGGGCGGCGCACCGACTCATCAGGAAGCACTCTGGGGCCTGAAGCAGATATTCCCTTATCTCTGGTGAACTAACAAACAGTCATTAACGGTAAATTATTATACATCTCAAAGGGGTTTTAAGCTCACCGACTTCAAAGACACAGTCCTTTGCAGCGAGAGGCTTTGATGTAACGTGTGTGGAGGAAGTCTGAAGTCTGTCACAGGATTATGAAGGAGCGTTACTTCATTAAGCCTCTGTTCGTATCTGAGCATCTACGGAGAAAGTCAAATTGAATAGATAACATCATGTTTGTTACAGTTCACAGTATAATATGATCGTCTACTTTTAATTTATTTTCCCTGTTTTTCTTTTTACTCTTCAATCACTTTAAGATTGAAAACAGTGAATCCATGAAAGCGCTGAAGAACAAAGTCAGGGCCACAGGTGTGCATGGTTTCAGCAGGTGGAGCTGCGGTGCACTTTACAGCCAGGACTGTTTTGAGAAAGTTCAGAGTGCAAGTTAAATGTGTGAGGAATGTGGAGCTGGAGCTATGCACAGCCTCGCACTCCGGGGCGGCTCCCTCCCACTCTGCCTGACTGAGCTGGGGCTGCGTGAGACTGGTCTTGGCAAGGGCTTAAATGTTTGATCTGTGCGTCAGGGTGTGAGCTGATCGATATCTGTGTAGTACACTACAGCCTCTTTATCACTCCTCCTCCTCCTGCTCCTCCTCCTCCTCCTCCTCACTGGATCAATACCTCTTTGGATTTGCCTCCTCATTAACACGGAGCACAGAGCAGTGATGAGGGACTGAGCGCCCGCAAAGTTTGTGGCACCTTTCCCTCTCGGTGAACTCTGTCGGGCCTCATCACTGAGTAAACTCACCTGTCCTGTCATCTCAGTGTGGTTTGCAAGAGACACAGAGGTGCACCATCAGGGCAGGCAAATGCTCGGGGCCCCCAGTGGCCCCTCATATTAGCACATCTTGCAATGACAACTATAACCCCCCTTAAACCTCCCATAAAGACACTATACACTGATGATGTGTGCTGTGGCTAGCGTCGAGATAAAACTAATGCACGTCTCTTCATGGGATTCAACGACAGGAACAAGACAAAAGGCGCCTCTGGAGGTGATCAATAATCTCAGCCTACACAGCACAGAAACAGCTCTCATAACAGTTACAAATGACTAACTGGCGGCTGCAGAAATATGGATATTGCTCTGTATTAATGTTAATTGACCTTAGTGCATCTTTGGCGGAACTTTTCCTTTTTGGGTCTTTAGTTAGTATGAGGCTTATTAGACTTATAATTAGGCCATAAAGCAATAGTTTGTTTTCCTGAAGTATAGATGTGAAAACACTGATAAAGTCAAACTATCACAGTCCCCAGGGGAAGCTGCCGCAGCAATCAAGGTCGTGATGATATCACATCATAGACTGAGAATCCAGTCTAAAAAGGGGGTTGAGTCCCAAACAGGATCCCTTCAGCTCAGAGACAAAGTTCTTCCCTTGAGATTCATTATACAATCTGACAATGTGACAGTGTGACATATTTTCATTGTTTAGGACTGATGTTTGCACTCGTGTTGATTTACTGCAGTTCCTCTAATGACCACTAGAGTCCAGCTCCTAAAAGTGAGTCAATCCCCAAAGACTCCCATGTTAAAGTGTCCAACTTTACAACAGAAAGAAACATGTTTACAGCCTGGTACAACAAACGGTTTTGATCTCTACAGCAAATTTCCTCTTTCATGAAAACTGTACTGGTGAAATGGATGGATCCAGGAAATCTTTAATCACTTTCCTTAACATTGGCAAGACAGGGCATTTTTCAATATTTTCAGCAGTTTCCCAGGAAATAATAAAAAAATCTGACATATCTATGGTGTTGGGATCTATGACTTTATACAATTTGGTGCCAATCTGACAGACATTTGTAAGATTGTTTGTCCTTGGTGGAGGTATGTGCTCCACTGAGTGCCATTCTAGTGTTTCAATTGATTCAAGCACCTCTCAAGCATCAATCCTTAAACCAGTTCTGTTCTCACGGTATGTGCTGCCATTTGGTCTGTCAGCATAACATCTGATTTCACTGTTATGCCGAACGACAAACAGTTACAGAAGCTCAACAAGCTGGCCGCACTAAACAGCTGCTTGGCTGATGTGAGAGGTTGGTTACACAAAATATTTTAAAGTTAAACTCTACAGAGGTCCTCATGGTTGGCTGTGAAACCTCTGTAAACAAATCCAGACACTTACTGGACTACACACACACACACACACACACACAAAAAAAACACTGAAAAAATGATCCACTCTTTTATATCTTGAGTCCTGGATTATTGCGAGGCTTTGTTTACCTGCTTTAACGCTTGAGCTGTAGCTCCGCTGTGACTGTGCAGAGCTCTGCAGCCTAACAAAGACCCAACACTCTTCTCACATCACCCCAGTTTTAACCTCCTTGCTGAACATCAGGAAACATCTGTGAACTTTTAACCCCTTATTATCCCAATAGGCCTCTTAGAGCTGCTTCATTCAGAGTGAGGGTAAAGGTCAAAGGGTGTACTGACTCCTCGCCTTTAGAACAGTCTTCCAGTTAGTATTTGGTCTGCTGACACTGTCTTAGCTTAAATCCCATCTTTAAACATGTTGTTACTGACTTGTCTTCCTGTCTGACAGCTGATGATTGGCAGGTCGGCTATATTTTACCATGTTTACCATCTTATTTAAGTGTTAGCATGCTAACATTTGCTACTTAGCCCTAAACACAGCGCGGCTATACAGCAGCGGTGTCCATTAAAATTTCTGTTGTGTATTTAGTGAAAAGCTTAATGTGAAAACAAACATTTGTGTCCTACAGTTGTAATACACATTGTATTGTTAATCGGCGCAGACCAAATATTCCTGTTTTGTGTATTTTGATGATTGTAACTGTATTTCTCTCTAATGTTTCCTCGTTGTTTACTCGACAACTTCAGTCATCTCTGTTTTGTACGTTTTAGGCAAAGCATGGAGGCGGAGACGTACCAACAAAGGCTGCTAGCCATAGCGGTGAGAACGTCTTTCCTTCTTTCTTTACTTTCGTCCCTTCACTGTCCACTTCAGTCTGCATTAAAAACAACTGCGACTTTCACCTCATGTCAAAATAATCTAACCGCACCAACATTGTATAATGTCACTTCAGTGGAACGGTCTCGCTTGATCTGCACGGCCTGAAGCGAGAACGCAAAGACCATTCCACAGTTAGCTTTCTGGCCATATAATCACTGGTCTGTGAAATGTTCGGTTCGAGGGCCTGAGCGTCGCCTGCTTGACCCCTCCGCAATGTAAAATCCACCCAAACGCAAGTGACCCACTTCAGCGTAGACAGCGAAGGCCTGGAGTGGACCTCAGCATGTTTACAGCTTACATTAACAGTACAGATACGGCGTCAGCATGCATACAATGTGCTGTGTCACTTGAACTATTTCTCTCGGCAACTATTTCTCTCTGCCAGCTGTATCACCCCGCTTTAATCTGACGGTCACGTCCCCTAAAAATACCCCCCCCCCTTCCCCCTTCCCCCTCCCTCCCTCTGTCTGTCTCAGTTCTCTGCTTTCATACAGAAGAAGTCCTTGTCTTCAGGGACCATGACTGCAAAGGGGAGTTACCAGAGAATTATATTAAAAAGCGGGTGTAACCCACCACCATGAGGAGTACAGTGCTCTCGGATCAAGTTCAGTCTGGTGTTAGTAGAAGCAAATAGAGCAGTTGCAGTTGTTTCAGTTCACAATAACCTGCTTCTTTTTCTTTGTTTTGGACTAATTCAAGTTTCATGACATTTTTGCTGATGAGAGGTAACTTACAAGAAGACTGTGTACAGAGTATGTGAGGGGTAAGTAGAGATAATATTCCTAGAGAATTAAAAAAATGGTCTTTTTAAGTGTGCTTTAGGAAACAGAAAGGACGTGCTGGCTGTGTTAATACTCCCATGATGAATAAAATGTTTGTAGACAGCGGAGACAATCTGTCACTTTCTGCAGCTTTAGCAGGAATGTGAGGAGAGTTGGGAGAAAGTGGAGCACTGACTGGAGTGAGTCATAAAGTAAACACTGTAAAACGGTGAATTTTACCATCCTGCCTTATCCGCTACGGTATGAGATTTGGTGTCACAGTCTCACTAAAGTTTTAAAATTCATTATCACATCACAGGATTTCAGGGTTTTCCCTCTGATTCCATTTCACCCGCCTGGTTATTAGCCCCTATTTTTGGTGACACACCTCAACAGCTGCCACAGGAAAGACCGTGTAGCTCCACATCTTCTTCTCCCCCCCCCCCCGAAAGGTTTCACTTTTTCTCTTGTCACCAGGAGAGGCGCCGACGGCAGGAAGAAGAGGAGAAGCTGAGGAGAGAGAAAGAGGAGGAGTGGTTGAAGACGGCCCAGAAAAAGGTCGGCATCTGTCACACCTGGTTCAAACAGGGTGTGATAAACACCGCCAGTGGCCTGTCTTAATCTGTCCCTGTGCCACATACAGTAGGTACATGAGTGTTTGCTGCAGAAGGCTACGCAGTGGAGGCAGGGTTGCCAGGTCTGCGGTTTTCCAGTGAAATTCAGCCACTTTAGAAGTGTCGTCATGGGTTGATTTTTTTTTATCTGCTGGTTGTGTAGACAAATTTTGCATGAAAATGACATGAATAATAAAAATCCATACTTTAAATGAAATTATTTACACACACATGACGTGCAGCACCAGCAGTGGGTCCCTTGACAAGATTCCAGATGTTCCCTAGAAAAACAGAGAATAATTTAATTTCACCATTACTTCACTGACTAGAAATGATCCCAGTAAGAGAATGTGTGCGAATGACTCTTCTGTTTATAGATCTCACGCGCTTCACTGTTAATCTGCAGTGTAACTACATCTTATCAGACAAGATCCTTGAGTCTACAATAGTTATAGTAATAGTTAGCTTAGCTTTTTCAGCTTACAAAGATAGGAAGTGGGACAGTTAGCATTACTAGCTAGCCATTTATTAAAAGGAAAAGCTTGTTCTCTTTTTGGGAAATAAATATGTTTGATTTCTTGTTAGGTTAGGTGACAGGATTGATGCAGCTAAAGCTCGCTGAATAATATCTTGTTCTTTCATCCATACAAAACAACATGCTGCGATTTAAACTGTGGGAAATTTGGTGACATTTTGGGAAGAGCACTTATTCGCTTTGTTGATAGGAGTTAGATGAGAAGGCCGATACCTCTCTCGTGTCTGTGCAGTAAACATGTAGCTAGCTGTTACCAGAGCCAGGCTAACGTTTCCCCTTGTTCGCAGTCCTCATGCTAAACCGAGCTAAACCAGCTGCTGGACTGTTGCTTATCATACAGACCTGATGGTGGTGTTCATTTTCTCATCTGATACTCTACAAGACAGAGAATGTGCATCTCCCAAATGTTAAACTTTAATAGAGAACAACTTTTTCTTTGTAAATGAGGTAAAAAAAAACTGAGGGCTGGGATCTACCCTGCTTGTTTTCATTGTTTACCCCTCCTCTCACCAGCTGCTTCATGTTAAAAATTGACCACTGCTGTGTCCCACCCTCATGTCATGTCTCATGACTGTTGCCAAGAGGAGCTGCTCACTGGCTGACGTCTTAGCTCAAGTGTTCTGGGTGGGGTCATTTGGACTTTACTCCCACTAACACATGAGTAAGAGTTTCGGTTACATGTGCTGAAAGCTCCAGAAGCAGGGATTCCTTATCATGAGGTCAAACATAGACCTACAGCAGAAAACACAGGCCGACAGTTCCTGTTCCTTTGTTGAAAATAATAAGTGAGAGATACTGCAAGAGAGGAAGTGGTGATGACAGAAAAGGCACATTATTTTGATGTCCATTAGGGATTCCTCGCACTGAGCTTTTTATGCATCCCATTAACTACTTCACTGTTCCCTGCAGGACGTGCTCTTTTGAAAATAAACAACACAAAACAACCGACATTATCTATGCCGCCGGTAGCCCAGCGCTGCATCATGCACACTGTAACAGCCTCCCACACAAACAGTAAGCAACACATTTCTGCTTTCTCCAACCACGCGTTTGCCTCAGGGCATGTGCATCGCTAACGGCAGGGACACACCAACCCTGCTGCAGCTGAATGAGTTTAGCCTGAAGATACAACAACGCCTCCTTCATCTTTGTGGCCACTGGATGTGAGGCAGAATTTCTCTGTTTCTCCTTCTAAAACCCAAAGGAGATGGTTGTATTCTCAGCATCTCCACTCCAAATACTGCCTGTTTGTACTGGCACAGTGCTACTTTCTGCTAAGCTAAGCTAAGCGGCTGCTGGTGGTAGATTCATTATTACCGTACGGACATTAGCGTGGTATCAGTCTTCTCATCTAATCTGGGTGAAAAAGTGATTACTATTCCATTATAGCAGCCGTTACAGATGAACTACTCTGGCACTTTAAATAAAGTGTTTGAAAAAAGGCATTGTCAGGTTTCAGGTTGTCACTTCTGCTAACGCCATAGCCTGGCGTGAATGACAGATTGCATCTTCACTCAAGGAGCAGGATGTCTGGGTCTCCAGGCAGTGGCACCGAGCTGTGAAACCTTTTCACTATCACTCTCAGACAACAGCAGTCTGCTGGCCTTACTCATCCGCAGCTAGATCCCAAATGGCAGCACCACAGGCTTTGCTTGATCTGTAGAGGGGCCAAAATGGCATGGGGCCGCTGCCAGGTGGCTGGCTGTGTGTCTTGATCCCATGAATGACCACTTCTGTTCAGCGTTCACACAGGCAGAAGGTTTTGGTGTGGCAGTGTGTTTGTTTGGCAAACTGGAGAAGCCAAGGAACGCACCACCGACCACCCGAGACCCAAGCAGCTGCTTATCTCCTCTATAGTTAAAAATATACATTTGAAAATACACACAAGTATGTGAGCTAAGCAGCCAAACGGGGGTTATGTTACAATGAAATAACAGTCTGATCATTTCTCCTCATCACACATACTGGCTCTAAGCAGCTCGACACTGCAACACAAGGACAATACCTCGTCTTTAAATCCGCACCTTTCAGATCGATGCTGACTTTTCTTAGACGCGTAGCTTCAGCTTCAGTCGTTCAGCACGTTATCATTCAGCCACCAAATGCATAATTAAGATCCATTTACAAGGTTCTTATATTAAATTGAGTCATCTGGAAACAGTCAGCCACATGGCCAGTGGCGTTTCCAACTCAACACTGAACTCATGCAGCTAACGTTTGCAGAATTAGCAAGCAAGCTACAGCTGATGAAATCCAACTGCCGGCGACAGTGGCGCCGAAATCAACGGTCACCGGTTAGAAATGAGAAAAACCTGCATTTGTCTGAAAAGAAAGACTGGTGGTTTAAACAATTACTAAGAATATTGATGCTAATTCTGCCGCTATCATCACTGTAAACTGTGGGAAGACGGAAAGCTCTGACCCGACATTTCTTGACCTTTTCTCTCATATTCTCACACAGAGGAAGAACCTGAGGGACCAGTGGTTTAGTGAAACAACTCCACCTCCTGTCCCTCTGAAACTTGACGGCTTTGGGACCGGCCCTCCGCTACAGGACGAGGTGGACCAGCGCACTGCAGCGTGAGCCACATTTCACCAGCTTCGTTCAAATAAACCGAGCATGACAAACATTAGAGATGATGGGGGCTGTTCAGGCAACCCTGTGATCTGAACTCGCCTTGAGGCTCCAGGTATGATGCGTGCAGTTAGACATGCAGTCCAACCAAGAAAACACAGGGATCGGAAGGTACTTATAAAATAAACAATATTTATTTATTTAGCCCCGATTGTGTGCTATAAGCAGAGAAACAAACAATAAAGTTTCTCTAGGCCTTCAAATGAGATGGATAACTGACAACAACAGTCAAAAACCATACGGTACCGCTCTACCTGGGGCCTACCTGAATACCTCTCATGATGCAGGAGTGGTAAAGGGGAAACATGGGAATAAAGGGCGTAGACTCAGGCATGTGAACAAACTGAATATTGCGTGGGGCAATAAAGATAACACTTGCACGATATTGCGACATGAAGAATTTGGCTCCTGCAGGGGGACACAGGAACAGTTGTGGTTTTAGGTCTGTTTAATTTAACATTCTGCTGGCACACGGATAAAATATGCAAGGTTCACATATTCATTTCTAAACATGGAAACATTTGCCATGAAGCAGAGAGTACAGTGTTTTCATCACAGATACACTTCTACTTTGACCATGACGAGATCAAACAGAAGGCTGCCATGTTATAGTTATGTGGCGGATTATAGCCTAGGACATAAACACACACACACACACACACACACACACACACACACACACACACACACACACACACACACACACACACACACACACACACACACACACACACACACACACACACAGTCTCTTTTTTCTTGGTCCACTGCTCTGAATCATTTTTGTTATGAGCTCTAATGTGCATCTTTTTGTGTTGACACATTTTATGTCTCTGCCAATGTGTGTGTGTGTGTGTGTGTGTGTGTGTGTGTATATGTGTGTGTCTGTCTCAGGGAACAAACCAAAAGTCAAAAGACGCCTGAGGACGGGGAGGAAGAGGCAGCTGATGCCAGAAAAGAGGAACAAGCTTCCCGAGAAGAAAACAAAGAGTCTGTCAAGTGTCCGGCTGCAGCCAGAACACACAGCCACTATCAGGTGAGTACAGTACGGAAAGAAAAGCACACTCAGATAAAAAGGCAAAGTCTGTGTCTTATACAGCAGAAAAAAAAAAAAATCATCCAACAATACGCACGCTTTCTAGCAAAATGAGATTTGAGAATTTAGAGACACAAATAGCCCCAAAGTATTTTGTGATTTCAGATGCTGTGGAAGGTTTAAGATGCGCACCATGCCTCCCTCCCCCCTCCCCAATCAGCCGGAGTCTCCTCCAAGCCTGAACTCAAAGAAAAAAAGATCTGAAACATTACCCATTAATGAATATAAAATAAGGGTCAGAGGAAGCACATGGTGCACGGTGTGGCCTATCGCCACACCTCAGTGCGTTGGCAGTGGTTAAATAAATGTTAAATAAATTAACATTGCAAACAAACAGGAAATATTTTACCAGCTTGTACAACTAGGACGTAAATACCTCCAATTACGTATCATGAATAAAACATTCACAACTGTGCTATCACGTAATTTCCCTGCAGCAGTAAATCAAACCAGAACTTTTCCCTGAATTTGGTGAACAATGAAACAAAAGCCCTGCTGTATCGTGGATGTATGAATCTACATTTATCATATATTGCAGCCTACAGTTTTGTTTTTCTTTCAAGCAAATGAATCATAGCTCATGAACTTTCACCTCCACCAAATATTTCACTCAAATATAGCTCAGTCCAACACTGGCAACCGACAGCAGAGCAGAAATGGTTGTTGGGCAAAATAATCTCAGCGCCTGTTGACATGAGCTCGGTTCAACACTTCCCTGATGATGACTGTAAAATATTTATGGCAGGACACGGGTTGGGGAGGGCTCCGGAAAAGGGCGGGAGGCATGTGTTGAAAGTTGCAGACTCAGTTGTGACGCAGTGTTTTAAGTGTCTGACCATGGAGAGCACTTAAAAATGTCTCTTTTCTTTACCCGCAGGCCGCGGCTGACGAGGACGCACAAGGTAAGAGGTCCGAGTCAGCTGCACTGCAGTCGTCATTAGCTTACCATCAGCTTCTATCTCTTCTTTGTCTCGGTCACGACTGTGCCTTCCTAGAATCTATTCTCTCCTGACAGATGATAATTTACCATAACTAAATCTTAGCATGAAGAATAGTCATTTAAATCAGGGTGACAGAATGGAGCCACGGCTGAGAAACAGCTCCACTTTGACTGCAGGAAAATGACTTACATTCTGCCTGCATCTGACTCTTTCTGTTGTGCAAGAATGCCACTAGGGCAAAAGTTTATCAAACCCCTTTCTGTCCTATCTCTTTCTGCACTTGGTAGAGATAGGTCAGGGAAGAGTGAAAAGGGCGTGACAGTATAACACAACAGCCAATTCTCACACAAGGCAGAAAGCATCAGACAGATCAGTTGAAACTTCAGTAAACAGAGAGAAGTGCAATCATTTGTTTGCCCCAGATTTCTTTTTAAAAACTGTTTAAGTTAAAATTCATGAAATGGATGTTTTACTCTTTACAGTCAAGCTGAAATTTGAATTAACCCACTTACTGTACAAGAACACGCACTGTTAACTCTTAAAGCAGTGTAAAGACTACCAACATTGTTACAGAGTTTTTCAGCCTAAATCGGTAATGTTTAATTAATCATGAAGCCATTGTATAGTTAAGTTTGCATTCCACTCAGAAAGTTGAAGCTAGTTAGCCTAGCTTGCAAACGTTAGCCCTGATTCCTGCCACCTGTTACTTTTCAAGCATGTTATGTATTTCAAGACCTGTTGAGTCATCGGCAGCTCCTGCACAGACGGCGATGGGTGTCTCTTTCATGGATCCAGCTGTGGTGATGGCAAAAAGTCAGACTATCCAAAACTCACAGCAACAGGTAGTCCTCTAAACTCGGGACATTAGCCTGTAATCCAAATCGCAACGTGGCAAGGGGCGTGATTTTAATTGGCCTATATTTTGACCCAAAAAGGCACAAGAGTCAAAACCAAGGTATAAAGACATATATATATATATATATACTTATTTCTTAGGAAAAATGTGTTGTAATTTCAGTTTGACTTTAACTCAAACAGTATATGTTTTCTTTTTCAGTGAATAAAGAGGCTGAGGATCACTTCTCCATACAAATGGCACAAAGGATGTTTCATGAAAGTGGGCAAGATGGCCGATCAGGTGAAGCAAAGGAAAAGACTCTATTGTGACTATAACATTGAGGATGTTCAGTATAGATTATGTGTTATTACAGGGTTGTAGCACTGAGGACACCCAGGTCATATTTTAGCATTGGGTATTTTTGGTGGTTTGAGTCCCCTGAGGTGCAGTTTACCTACTATAACTGACACTTCTCTCTGTCTGACTGCACTGCCTTGACTCTGACACTTATGTGACTTGGCAGTGCTGAACTGTCCTCAAAATATTCAGCAGTGAGAAGGATAAATATAAGACTTAATGAACAGGGATTTAGGCAAGAGAATATCCTCAGCTGTTTGCATTGGTCTCTCCGTTCTTCCCTTTGCGAATGATGACCCCTTTATATAATCTCGCTCTGTCCAAGTTCAGCCTTCAGGGTACGACTTAACAATGGGACTGAGGTGAACAGCCTGAGAACAATGTTATATTTAGCCCACTTTGGGGTTTTTTCTTCTTTTTTTCCTGTTCATTAATTTTTAATGCCTGCTGCGTTTTGCTCATTGCGTCCCTTCATTGGTACTCGAAGCTCCGCTCCTGACCCGGCATTCACCTTTGTACCCCTGATCTTTTCAAATACACTCCGGCCTGTGACACATTTAAGAACAGTTTGATTAGACAAAAATGAGGATCTGTCCTGCACTGCAAATTACTTTATTAACTATCTGTAATTTAGCCTTGTGAGTTGTGTTGCCTTTAGCGTTTTACCATAATTTGAATTCTGCTCTGTCTCTTCTATTTTAGTCCTGGGAATGTTGGCAGTGCAGGTTGAGAGAGACCCCAAGACAGGTGCCACTGTCGTCAAGTCAGTGGCCCCCATGTCCACATCGGCTGATGCTCCCAAAGTCACCACAGTCTTCGACGACGGCAGGAAGAGTATCCACGCCGTCGGCGGGACAGGATGTCAACCCTCGACCGAAGAGCTCGGGCAGATCTTGAGCGCCATCGATGGGGTTGGGATGACAGCGCTGCTGGAAGAAGTCACGGTCGTGCCGAGCAGAGATGCAGAGATGAAGATTGAAATTGTAGAAGCCAGAAGAACTCCAGAGGAAAAAGTTGTGTCTTTTCCTACCCATCACGCCATGTCAAAAGAGACCGATACGCAGTTGGACAGCACCGGAAGCTACGACTTGGAGGCTGAGCTGAGCGCAGAGGACTGTGCTGTAATTGTGGGAAACCAGGAGGATAAACAAGAGGACAGATGCATCACAGCAGTTAGAGACATAGCAGGAGAAGTGGAGAACGTGGAGGATCAGAGATTGGAGGAAGGCCCGGTCACCCTCTTGTTCCTGGGATACGCTGACGCCACTACGTCCCAAGGTCACAGCCAAGAGGACGATGAAGGCATGCTCACTGTGGAACGAGTGATTATCACCGAAGATGGAGAAGAACATGTCTTAGGACCTGAAACATCCGCTTCACCTCCGTCATCATTAGACAAGGTAGCAGAGCAAGAGGCTGGGAAGGAGTCCCCAGCTGAAGTATTTCAGGTTATTCCCCTGGATGGAAATGGAGCTGGAGTAAAAGTCCAGGGTGAAGAAGGTGACAAGGAGCAGCAACGTTCATCTTCACCCAGTACAGCAGTGGGAGAAGGAACTTCCAAGCGCAAGACCTGTCAGTGTTGCTCCATCATGTAAGGAAAGGGGGCTCATCAGGCTTCATCGTAATATTTCTTATGTTTTAAACCCTTGTGACTTCTATTACAGACCATATGCTGCACTGCTGCCTTAATGACTGATATGAAAGATTAAGCCACTACCTGGTATTGTCTTACAATGGTTTTTGGCTCCGAGCGTCCACCACTTCACTTTGCCAAAGAAAGAGACATTTATTATGTTCTAAGTCTTTGCAGCAGCTGTGGACTGTCAGGCAGCTCCGAGGGACAATTAAAATCCACTTCCTCCCCCTGGTGGACAAAGCTGAGAATTTCAACATGCAGTCCTGCAGATACTTCTCGTCTCGAATGCCTCCTGTTTTCTCTGCCTTGGCCTTATCAGCCCAAAAAGATTCCTTATGTTCAGCTGTTCCCTCCAGGAATGGAAAAAGCCAAAGAGCAGCAGCATGGTTTGTAGTTTGTGGCACTAATATTTTTTTTAAGACTAATGATGGTCTGTTTGTAACATCCTTTGATAAAAATTTTACTTTCTTACCCATGACTACTCGACAAAATCTATGTTTCTGAGAATTTGGGTGTTTTAATGTCCTAATGAGGAGTTTGTGATCTACAATGTGACATAAATTTTGCATGTTAACTTTCTGAAGCCTGACTTAGATGTATTTTTTTGGGTACGCGGTTTTAGACTTGATCAGATCCACGTTTACATGTAACAGACTGAGGGAGACTCAGCACAAGACTCTTTACAGGCTTTACAGCATATCACCCCTGTTACTTTGCACAAAATAAATCATTGCCTTTTTCCTCTATACATTAAGTGCCAGTCTGACAGGGGGACGTATTGCTTCTGGGAGTGTTAACTCATTTCTTCTGGGCATTTCCAGGGTAATTAGTAGGATATTTAAAATTTAAAATTTAACACCTCAACATTTTCCTCTTAGGCATTTCCCTGCATCACTCTACAAACTTCTTGCTAAGTTCCTTTTATTTCTTCCAAATGGAAACCTTCCACAACTGGATCAAAGACTTACCCTCTGGTGCAGGGAGATCGTCAGCACCCTCCCCCATGAAAGATTACAGGCGGCCTTAAAAGGAAAAGATGAGCTGTTCCTGAAGGTTCGGCCAAGTTTTCAAGATGATTTACCTGCGGTCCTGAAAGCGTACTTCTAAAGGGGGAAGCACTTTTCTGAGTGGAAGACCCCTCTCATTACAACAGTTATGGGACATATATATAATACAGTGCACTATTTTACTTAATTTCATATGATTAATTAGTGTAATTTGTGGTTTGACACTCAGGTTTAACATTTACCGTCCTCAGTATTTCATGCATAGTATGTAGATAGTCCACATCTCTCATGCACTGTGTAACGATATGTGACTGGCACTCAGTATTTCACTACATTCAGACTCCTTCTACAGCTCAATAGGGAATACTTATAACACGAAATTCTTACGTATAGACTGCTTGAGACGTGGCATTATCACTTCGCAATGGTGCGTTTAACTTGAGGTTACTACACTGTTGCTGTGGGTCATTGGAACTGTGCACTGCCTTTCACACAGAGGAGATTTGGTTTGCTCACCTGACACAGAGGACAGGAAGGCACAGTTGCTAAGTAGATCAGCTGGATCATTCATATTTCCACTGAAGTTAGTACTATCACGCACAGAAGATGACCGCAACGCTACAATCAGGTGGGTCTCCTCCTTCACAATGTCTACATTATGGCTCTACCTTTGCACTTGTTTTCTTTTCTGTCGCACTTTTCTCTCCCGGGCTGAGGGGCAGGCTGTAATTGTAGATCTTTGTCTGGTGATGGCCAGAGAAAAGCCTCAGTAGAGTTAAAGATCAGGTCACAGTCATCAAAAAAAAATCATCTTTTTCTGATTTATTTGTAATATAAACACAGTGTGTATATTTACAATACTGGCCCAACAGCCATTACCACAAATATTGGATAATAGAATCATGAAACCGCATGTACAATACCACTTAAGTAAAGTATTTGAATAGTATTTGAATAGTATTTAAAATGATTTATAAGAACCTTCTTTGTGACAAGATGTTCCTTGAAAGGAGGGTGGAATAAACAGGTTAAGCTCATTAAAGCACATTGATACGTCCTGTTGCTTGAGCTTTATATTCAGCGTGGTGGTGCTGCTGCTGTTGATAATCCTGAATTGCAGCATGGCTGGCGTTAAGCCCCTGAATGCAGGTGTAAATATAGACTCATACATTTAAACCTGCTGCTCAGGGAACCAGATAATGCAGGGACAATATTTTACACTTGTGTGCTGTGACGCTGCATTGTGTGCCCATGATTTTTATTATCCACCAGTGTAAACGAACAATACATGTCCAGTTACAACAATTCTTATAACGACGAATTGTTGTTATAAGGCCGATCACTGACTTTGCGGATAATAGGCATTAACCAGATGAGTAAAGGCTGTTGTACCAGAGAGAAACATCACTTCTAACAGGCATACTGGTGATGATGATGAGAGTGTCTGTGTCCAGCCAGGCTGGCAGATATTGTACATAGTGTGCGTGCCAAAACAGACAGGAAAGCCGATTACTCTTTCCCTTTGTCAGCAGTGTTGGCAGCGCTAGTTCACAGTGGGGGAGAAAAGTCACCAGAAAAACACAGTAGCTGTATGTCCTGCTGAAAAGAAAAACAAAAGAAAACTGGTAGATCTCCCAGTGCCTGTGGCAAGGCTGGATAACCAGATGGGCAAAGTAGAATTCCAGGTGTCCAGAAAGATCCAGGATTACTGTGTCCACTGGAAAGTGAAATTTTTTTTTCTTTTACAGTTTTGTGGTTAAACGTTGTATTATCCTCAATTAATTTCTATTTAACCATAGAAAACCTGTACACATTGCAATACATAATGGGGCTCATCAGCTAATTTTCCCCTTGGGCCTCCCTTAATAATCTGCCTCAAGACAGTACCAGTCATAGCCACACAAAAAGATATGATGGAATATGAAATAAGATCTATTTTGATTTTAAAGGTTTAACTGCTGGAGAGAGGAAGTCACCTATTTCACTGAAAACTCAATTGTAAGTGTGCAAGTGGCGAATTGGACCATGCTGTCACAGATCTTGCTAATAATTACACATCTACAAGTGACAATAAGCAAAACACAAAGATTAGAAGTTCAGCTGTGTTCTGCAAAAGCAAGTTTTCCTATGTGTTCATCACCTACACGGATCAGTTTATTTTTACAGTTATTATTAATAGGGATTTTATTATTAACCTCAGTAACACTTTCTCATGTGACTTATATTTAAACCCAAGCAAGGAACAATTAAAAGGGAAGACAGAATAAACACCCTTAAGTGATTCGAAGGCTTGTCACCATGGAAACAAGACATCCCAGACTCAGCCCGCAAGGTCAGGTCTCCCAAGACGATGGCGGTCTGTGGATGAAGATGGACTCTGGCCCTGAGGCCCAATCAATAACCTCTGGTGAGACGCCCCAAGATGAAAGCAAAGTCATTCTCCCGGCCCATGCAGTGAACTCGACGTACTACAGCGTGATGGTTGTCGAGTGCGCAGATGATGTCTTCATTCCACCACCTCCATCTTTCATTGCTCCTTTGCCGCCAGCAGAGGGCAGCACAGGCGCAATGGTCAATAATTCCAGTGTGACCCTTTCAAATGGGGCATCTGACGCCACAGAGGCTAAAGCTAATCCCAGCGGCTTAGACTGGCATCATGGAGAGAAGCAGTTAATGGCAGCACAGAACAAGGTGGATGAAGTGATAGCAAGTACAACGCAAACGTCTAAGGAGTCTACGAACATCGCATCTCTGTCCAACGACAAGGACCCCACTCCACCAACAGATCAAGTCCAAACATCAATGGAGGACGCTGGTTGTCTAACTGAACCATGCCGTGATCCGTCAGGAAGGCATCACCAGGATAACACCTCGAGAGACAGAGAATCCAATGAGGAACCTGGGGACATTTGTAGGGAAACTGACGCAGGGGAAGACAAAACTAAATCGGAGGATATATGTGGTCTTACTGAGACAGACTCTAAACTAGTGACAGAAAATGTCGACTGCGACGGTGCGGGGACAAATGTACCATCTGTCGGTGTGAAAGATGATGATTTAGAGTCCCGTGGGCCACCAGAGCTCCTCAAATGCAACCAAAACAAGATGGACTCAGCAACCAATCAGCCACAGGTATCGGAGACTCCTGCAGAGATGACCAATGATGATCAGGAGCATGTTGACACCAGATCTTTGGACTATAACCTCACAAAGAATGACTGGGTGAGGAGAGAGAGCAGCTCCAGCGAAACGCCGGTGCCACGGCTCTCCACCTCTGAAGGCTCTGAAGAGCAGGGAGATGGAAACAAGAGAATAGCTACTGATATCCAACAAGGACAGGAACTGCTTCAACGTCTGCAACTGGTGCAGCAACGACAGGAGGTTGACCAAGAAACGAGATGTGAGGAAAATGATGTGTTTGAGGCAGAAGTAGACGATTTGACAGCAAGTGAAATGAAGCTGACGCGCGGAGATGAGAGGGAATACAGTAGACTTCACACTTCTATGGATGAGGGAGCCAAGGCGAACCTGAAGGAAAAGCATGAAGAGAACGAGAGTACAGACAGTGGAAAAGCAAGGATGTCTTTTACCACAATGTCTGAACAGCTAGCGGGCCAGAGGATTACCAGAACAGACGCCGATAACTCTGATGACGATCAAAGTGACAGCTGTGTGCCTGCGGATTCGTCTCCAGTCAACTCTCATGAAACCAATGAAATTCGCAGTCTATCTGCCAGACACCAATTCTCAGCTGCCGAAAGCTCCATGGAGAAGCAGATCCAAGAGGCAGGCCAGGAGAAGCAAAACCTGCAGAGAGCCGGGGGTATCCTCAATCTTGCGGATAATCCGGATGTACTGGAGATTCCCTTTAAGACCAATATCTTGCTTGAACCAATCCCCCCCCAGGTTGGCCAAGGCCAACGCAGCGACTGGCAGTTCTCTGAGAAGAAGATGCAGAAGGAGATAAGTCAGGAGGCTCAGAGAGAATTGGTGCTGGTCAACCAGGGGAAGATCCCAGGAGGGTACAGCAAAGGAGAGGTCCGCCAGTTAAAGGAGACAAAGCTGCTATTTGAGGCTTTCCAGCAGGACAACACGGAGGGTCCAACAAGGAACAGGAAACTCCCTACCACACTGATAAGAGGTCATGTGTATCCTTCTGTGCTGGAGCGCACACGTAGCCTAGAGATGTTTTCCCTCAAAAGTTGCCCCATTGCCAGAACAAATTCCCTCAGGCTGTACGAATCTACAACCTCTGAGAGGGAGCAAAGTGCTGAAAGCCTCAGATCAAAGAGCCCAACTGGGGGTACACGAGACAAAACACGCTTATCCCCTTACCCAAAACAAGACAAACAGCCACGCCTGTGCAGAAGCATGGACTCCATAGGCACAGATGTGTCCACATCAGCTGTGGATACTAGGGGCAAAACAAGGGAGGGAATCACAAGACAAGGGTCTCCCATCCTCAAACACAACCCCTTCTTCAAGCTGCGTCCAGCCCTGGCTCTGCAGCCGGAGGTAGAGAAGGACATCCGGGAGGCCAAAGAAAGAGAGGAGGAGCTGCGCAGACAGAGATGCACTCTGTATGGAGAGAATAGGCAAAACAGTCAAGAGGAAGAAAAGTCACGATTGACAAAAAAGCTCGCTCCAGGTCAGTCTGCGTGGTCTCAGTGATACGTTTAGCACGAGTATCAGTGGTGGGATTTAACTACTACTGGAGTACAATTCATATTTCTTCTGTACTAGCTTGCAAAGATAAATATTATACTTTAATTGACAGCAATTGTTACCAGTAACTTGATATACTAAATCATATGATCAGCTCATAAAATAGGATGCAATGTTATCATTAAAAAATTCAGTAGTATAATTATATAAGCAGAAGATCTCAGGCTAATTTTGTTAAACAATTTTCCAAATTAAGAATATTTTAATGAAAGCTAATTTAATCATGTCGACAAAAAGACAGTGTAAAAGAAAAAAACAAAGTGTAAATGTTTATGAAATATTTCCATCAGGTTGCAAAGACACATCATGTAAATACTAGTATGTCCAATAAGACTCACTTAGATCTTTATTCATTGCACATCCCAGCCTTCTGACACTCAGTCTGAGCACTTTAATGAATGCCTCTCTACATTAGCATCACATACTGTTATCCTAGGAGTCTTATCGACAACTTAGTGTCAACCCTGTCACCGGCGGTTAAGGGCACATCACTCTAGCGGCGGCCTGATCTGAGTCAGCACATGCCAGCGGGCTAAGTGACAACACGAAGGCTGCTATCTGCGCTCCAGCTTGAGCCAGGGGCAGCTCTGGTTCCATTCTGGTGTTGTGTAAATAGGAACGATTTAAGACGGTTGATGCGTCTCGTTGAAAGGAATCTGTACGCCCAGTTTGTCTGCATTTTTTTTTTCCCCATGTCTGCTGTTGTCGCCTATATACCCAGCAGGACAGCTTGAAGGCCTGAGCGAACACCGCGCCCAGCCAGCGAGTGTGTCATTATGTAGCACCAAGTTAGTATTTTCAGCGGCTGGATAACGATGCGTGGGTTGACTCAAGGTGAAGATGATGAATCTTACAAAGTGACAGCTATATAATGTGTCTGGGCTGGGCTAAACTGAAGGAAATGACTCATTGTTAAGGTCAGATAAGCTGTAGAGTGTTATCCTAACCATCCATGGCACAGCTCTTAATAAGAATGTACAATCCAGATACATGGCGCTACCTGCACAGATGACAGTTCAGCACAGTGAGGAGCTTCATGCGCCTTTATCTACACAATGTCTACACAGTGGATGTGCTAGTAGCAAGTTTTTAAACCTAGTCTGTAACCCTATAAAATAATGTAGTATGAAATGCAGTCGGCCTTGGAATTAGCGCTGAGGTTACTGCTGTTAGTAAGCTAGTTAGCCAGACATGCCAACAACTGCAGATCACCATAAAGCAGACAAAATAGACGAGATTCAGTCTAGTTGAATATATGAAATGCTTAATTAATTAAAGTAAAATAGCTTCCTGTAATTTTTTTCCCTTTCATATTGTCTCACTCGTTTCTTCTTCCTGTCTTTTAGATGTCAGACATCAGTCCAGGGGGAAACTGGAGCGGGTCTGGCCACCGCCCTCCAAGCAAGACCAGATGAAATCTGAGCAGACACAGGTGATACGTCAGGTTTATTTACAGTAAATAGCTTATTTTTGTTTTCATCGTCTTTGTGTAAGATCTGTGCACAGTGTGGTGTCATGTTGTACCGTCACTAGTTCAGGGGAAAGATGGAGTGTCATCAAAAGGTTTCTGTTCTTGGTTCTTCTCGGAGCGTTATCAGCATTATGTATTGTTTTGAAATGCCTAAGAAAGCACTAAGGAGTTGGCCTACTGATAGTGAGGTTTACCGCATCAAAAATAAAGATTCAGGTCAAACCGAATTTTAAATATGTTGCTATAATTGCCGCTTTCTGAATCTTATCAACCTTAAATGGCTGAACAAACACATTAGACTTTTAGTGTTCAGAGATACTATTTGTTTTTATAAATTCGTGGATTAGTACAAGTGGTTCTGAAATTGATCTTGTGAAAGTATCTTGCATAAGACCTTGAAATCATCCTTATATAACATCCTTACATAATATCTTGTTTTTCACATATAATATATGAAAATGATGTTGAATTAAGTGTGACCATTGCCAGGAAATTCATTCCACAGAACGGTGGTTCTCAAAGTTTTTCACATCAAGGACCGTAAACCAACACAAATTAGACCACAGACATTCATCTGATCTGATTTTTGCTTTTAGATGATTTATTACAGGAAGTGTTTTAAACCCATGACTCAAATATTCACACATTCTGTAATTGTGTTACTTATGGATGGAATAATAGAGAAAAATAAATGATTCCCCCTTTTGCAGGGGACCCCCAGGAACACTTTGAGAACCACTGCTATAGAACTACTGCTATAGAGCCATTATGTTTTCGGGTTGGCCATCAGCTCATGCAACATACACCTTTCCCATTCCCATGAACGCGAAATCTCAGGACCGTCTTGAGGGACTTTCTTCAAATTTGGTACAACCGTTCACTTGGAGTTAATGATTAACTGATTAGAATTTGGTGGTCAAAGGTCAAAGATCAGCGTGACCTCACAAAACACGTTTTTGGCCATAACTCAAGAAATAAGTAAGAAGTAATTATGACACAATTTAACATTAATGTCTAGCAGGATAAAATGAAGTGATGACATTTTATATCCAAACGGTCAAAGGTTAACTTCACTGTGACATCATAATGTTCTGGTGAAACGCTCCTGGTCATTGTTCAGTGCTGTAACTCAAGAACAGAAGGGGACATTTTCGACCATATTTCCTGCAAGTTGACAGGGTTAACAGAGGCGTACAACCATGAGGCGGTAATTCTAGGTCTATTATGTGCTTAAACTTTTGTAATGTTTTTGTATTGGTTTCACATTATTCTGATATACTGTATGTGAGGGCTGAATGCTTCCAGATAATGGTCTATTGGTCATGGGTTACTATCAGCTAAACAGGGGTTTCTTTGTTCTCTTGAATGGTATAAAAAAAAAAAAAGGGAGGTTCACAGTTTCACTGAATCTCCGCTGACACTCCACTTGTGCAAGCGAACATTTTGTATAAACAATGTTTTGTGTGTTTATTACTATTCACGCAGTTTCCACAGCTCATCTCCATCTCTAAATCCTGCCCTTTCCTCTGTCTCATCCCACAGCAGGAGCCAAAAGTTCACAGAGCAGGGGGTCAGAAGGCTCCTCTGTGGCAACGCTGGGAGTCCGGCATGATCAACGGGCAGCCATCACAAGAAAAGAACTGATATTGACCATCCTGTCAACACTACACATAAAATATCTATGATCTGTGATGCTAGACAGCTGCACAAATCTAAGCGGAGATGAATCAATATAACTAAAAACCCTTATGGTAGTTCCAGCTTAAGTTTGCTCTGGCTAACTCTGCTTAGTATCTGTGTAAAATTCGCTTTTTTTGATATCTTGAACATTAGTTTTATTCAGCAGATAAATAAAGCAAAAGTATCACTTCAATTGTTCCCTCCATCATTTTTCTCCTTTAATCTCTATGGAGTTATGTGAAAAACAACTTCGGTTTCAATATAATATGTGTTTTTGTAAGCTTCCTTAAATTAAGTTCTGTAGCAAAAAGAAGAGTCAGAATTTTTGCACATTTTGCTTAACAAGTTGGTTTTCCACAAATAAACTTACAAACTATAAATTTTGTTCCATTTTTTCAAGTTTTAAAGTGGAGAATTGACATTATTCACTGTCAGAATTCACAGTGGAAACATTAAAGGGGCACTCCATCCATTTTACACATCAAGTTCAGTTACTAGTCAAAGAGAGAATTAGTCAGCCTGTGAAAACAGACAATATAATTTAGAACAGAAATTTCGATGGAAACACTATCCAGTTGCATTATGGGAAATGTAGGATCCAGTGTTATGGGCTTGACCCATAGTAGCCAATAAAAATTAAATAAATATTTTGAGTTCTTCTGCTTCAATTTTGACAAGTCTTTTTTAATCCGTCTCTCGTAAATTACCCAACATTACAATATTGGGTAACATCAAATCGTTAGAGTACCTCTTTAAATACCTATGCAGAGTCCTTGTGGGTTTATTGTACATGGTCTAATCAGCTTAAAAGCATCAGCAGGACAAAAGACAGAATCTTACAACACTAGGATATTGTACATCTTTTCGCATCCTGCATGAAAAATCCTCTCAAGTGGCAGCAGAAAAGTCTGCTTTGATTACTCAACACCAGATTGTCTAATACCTAAATGAAGGAGGAAGTCCACGGTAAATGAACCCATCAAAAAAAAAACCTTCAGGAAAACTTTCCAGAGTTGACCTGTGATCACGTCCACTCGAGAGAGAGTTTGGTTCCTAATCTCCACAGTCACAAGCACACAGCTTAGCCTGTCTAAGTACCATCTGTCAGCCCCAGTGACTCTGCCAAGGGAGGAAGGACTTTCACTCTGCCCTTCCTGGATCGGAAGCCCTTGTGTTAATTGGCTGCCGTTCTCACCAACCCACAAACAGCACCCAGGGCTACGACCTAGGTTTCAGTTATGACATTTTAAGATGGCTGAATACAGATCTCAAATGCCAGACGTCAGTGTTTGCCTTGAGTTTAAAATGGCTCTGATGGGAATTCACATACTGTACATGAAGGTCATGTCTTGCTTCATCTTAATGACACAAACAGATATATGACTGGAACAGAAGACTGATGCATATGGTGTCAAGGGACCCTGAGCAATCACGGCCAGGCTGCTCCTCCTCTTCTTGTCTGTGCTGTGGATCAGCTCTTACAAACTGATGCCACCTCTCAGTGTGAGCAATCGTAGGAGGCACATCTTAATCATCAGCCCCTCCCAATGTACCCTGTTAAAAGACGCCGGCCTCATCCATCTCGATGACAACGCACTGAAAGGTAAACAGCGCAGTCAGGCTTTCCGTAACCATCGGGCATCTGCAGAATGTGGCACATGTGGCGAGGCAGGATGATTCAAGCTACGAGTGATGAAAGTGGAAACCGGAGAGGACATCTGGGAGTCACTGCTCTTTTCCCAACATCATTTCATATTTACATACAGGCATGAGAGTGAAGCAATATATGCATCTAACTCTCAGCAATATAGAAAATAACAGCATCTCCCAAAACTGTTGAAGTACTCCTTTAAGATAGAAGAAGAAATAATCATGAAAAATGAGTCTGAAGAAAACGTTTCCGTGTTCCATGACTAATGTTATCAAATAGGCTTTGGGTGATTTTTGTCTGTGGCGATGATAAAAATGATATTGTTGTTCATATAGAGGAAATCAATGCTTTGTTAAATTCTTCTTCTTATAAACATACTAATTAAAGCTATGGATGTAATTTTGCATCATTTACCAGTAGATGGCAGTGTAGCCCTAATAAAAGAGAAAAGGTCTTTCATGACAACACTAAGCAACTGAGTCCTTTTAGATAGGATTACAGGCATTAAATTGCTTGTTCAATCAAAGTATAAGAGCACTGCAGGCACTACTACTGTACTGTTCAGGTATTTTCAAGTACACTTCAAGATATAAAAACAAACTACACATATCTTTAACAAGACAGCAACACCAGATCCTTTGACCTAAAGCTGCAACATTAGATAAGTTTATCCAGACAGACATGTATCTTTAGGTTTGTACATATTCATGTTGAGAATTTTAATTACAATATCAAGAAGTCACTTCATTTGAAGGGTAAACATATGCTGAGAAAGTACATTAGTTATGTAACCTCTGTAATTTATCCAATGATGAGTCACTTATTTCACAGGACTCCAGCCGCCGACTACATGCATTATCAATTCCATGTACACTAAGATGAAGAAAGAAAGTTGCTCAGGAGCACGTCTGCGTCATTTTCTGCAACAACATGGGGGTGGTAATTTCTTCAGATCCTTGGTTAACACTCTGAGTCATTCATGAGGGCTGTCATGTACAGAGCGCATTAAGGCTGTGTTCTCCTAAAAAACTAAAATAAGAAAAACTTTGCTGCTGTGAAAACACGAACAACACACCAATGAGATTAATGTCACAGTAATGTTATCTCCTTCCAAACACACTTGAATCACCGGGATAAGAATCCTTTTTGAGGAACAGACTGAGGGAAAACAGGAGTATTAAAAAACTTTCTGAGGATTACAGAGAACACTTTTCAGGAAGAAACAAATCTGCTGAGGACGGATATTCAAGGCTAAGTAATGTTCCGTAATCTATTGGAAACTCCCACTTAATTTCATTCAGTTCAGCTTTTAGCAGTAATAATATGTTTCCAGGCGGAGAACGGCTATAAAAAGGCTGACAATCGAGGAAGAAACGTTAAGATGTGGGTAAAACAGGAACGGAGACAAGGGGTTAAATAAAGACAGTACACTCCACTCCAGCGCTATTATTGCATCCCACCCTGCCCTGAGTGTACAAATACCAAGAGCTTTGTGAGTGGGTGCTGATGAGAGGGTAGAGCAGTGACAGCTCTGACATCATCACTCCTTAAGCACTGTGAGATGGGGCTTGACTCGGTTCTGCACCAGAGGCAGCAACTTAACACTATGGACAGATGATGGATGAATCATTCTTTCCACCCACACGGCTTCCCATCGTCAGGATTCGTCATCAAGGAACTCTCACTTGGCTCCAAATTAAACCCTTCAACATAATCCTTACAGTGCTAAAGTCGCATTCATGTAGCTCCGATACTACAGGAAAAAAACAAAAAAAAAAGGAAAGTTACAGCGGTGATTCCCAACCAGCTGAGGAATTTGTTTTTAAAAGAAAATCCACATATTGAGTCAGCTGTTGACACGCCTGAACAGCAGGTGTTGCTATTGAGAGCGCACAGTTAGAAAGTGAGCAGAGGGTAGGCTACTATGGATTAAAGGTTGAAATAATAATTACCTAAAAGAACAACGAATTAGAAGTTGAAATAGTTAGCTACAACAAAATGGGATAAATGAGTTAACCCCACAACCCCTTACATAAGATGCCAAAGGATCCCACAGGTGGGGTGCTTAGCTTATCTTAGCTTGAATAGCTAATGGACAAGTGGTTGAAATAGTTAGCTAAAAGTAATGAATAAATGGTTGAAATGGTTAGCTATCTGTTATAGCTAGCTAAACTCATGAAATAGGATAAAAGGTTGAAATATCTGGCTAAAGGTGCAATGGATTAATGGCTGAAATAGTTAGCTTAAAGTACAGTTGAAATAGCTAATGGATATATGGATGAAATAGTTAGCTAAAATCAATGGATAAATGGTTAATATGTAGATAACAGTAATGGATAAAGGGTTAAAATAACACAGTAACACATGACAGGTGGACATAGCTAAAGTAATAGATAAACAGTTGATAAACAGTTGAGATAAAACGTAGCCAAAGCTAAAGGTACTGGATAGTTGAATAGCTGAACTAAAAAAAAACCCTACAGTCATGGAAAAGTAATCTTCTGCATTCCCGAGTAGAATACTGCAAATGCAAAACAGACCAAACCGACTTAAACAGTGAGAGTTAAATTGTGTGGAAAGAACAACACTATCTAATAAATGTTTATATGAGCAACAGTATCTGGCACAGTCCAGTTTAAAAACAAACACATTTGGCACATGATGGGTGGGTGTTGATGAAGGGGGGGGGGGGGTTCATTGAACATGTGCGTTACACTCCCCAGCGTGTGTTTACATAAAGTTTACATATTTCATCACATTTTCTCATTCCAGAGAGGGACATGTTCTAGCTGTTTCACTTGCCCATGCTTCTTCTTCACTTACTGACGTGAAATGAATGAATAAACATTGGGTAGCGGGAGCATGAGGTAAGGACAGAATAAACAGACCTCAGATCGCCCTGCTAAGTTGAGCCATTGTCCTCAACAAACCTTCTATTCGTTTTCACTCTCTCCTCCTCCTCCTCCTCCTCCTCTCCCATCCCGCTCTTTCTTTTTGCACAATGAAAACTCAATTGTCCAATTCCATGATCCCACATTACAACAGTCAACAATAATATAAAGCAGTCATGCACAATCAGATGTCACCCTTTGTCCCTTTGCCTTTCTATTTTCAGTGCTTCTGTGTTAAACTGTTGTCATCGCTTTCTTTCTGGAAAACACACAGATTTTCTCCTGAAATATATAGATTTTTTTCTAGGAACCTAAGACATGCAGCTGTTTCTTACTGCATGTGAATTGTATATTAAGCCAAACATAATGTCAATTTCATAGAAGATACGCAGCGTAAGAGTGAGTCTGATAGTGTCAAATACAACGGTTCCATACAGAACAGTAATCAGTGAAATCTCTGAGGTCTTTGCTGTAACTAACAGCAATGACACGGGCACGCAACAGCCACCAATAAATAACGAACTAAGAAAATGTGAAACAAATAACATTACTCAGAATAACATGAGGGAAATTTTACTCCAGGCAAATCATGGCGTTAATAGTTACTTACTTGCCATGGATCTATGGCTTTCTCTCGCTTTCTTGCCAAAT